ACCCACATCCACACCCCACCCCACACCCACACCCACACCCACACACACCCACACTCACACCCACACCCACACCCACACCCTTTTTCTTTTCTTTAAGTTGAGATGAGATGAGAGTGGCGAGGGAGATTAGGTTCGTCTTATAAGAATGACTTCCGGGTAGTTCCTAAAAGCCCAGCCAGAAACGGTTCTGATGTCCATGGCAACACGACCAGGCCCCCAGGCTCACTGATGCATGTCATCGGATGGGTGCATGTGAGTCTTTCCGCACGTGAATGAGCATTACGCTCACCATGGCTCCACCAGGATCGTTCCTGATTGCGCGTGGGAGAATAGAATAAATTTCAATGCATTTTTCCGTTTAACCACGATTTATTTGAAAGAGAAAAAAAGAGAACGAAATCAAAGAGAAATCATCGTTTTGAGTTTATGCGATATTAAATTTTTGTACTCGATTATTTCCCCATTCGACGACATAGAGATTACCATGTCGATCAAATGATAAACCTATGGGATTATAGATTTGATTCGACTGTGCTTCTCCACCGTTTCCACCAATAATGACACTTCCTTGTGTGGCTCCTTTTGGCCAACGCACGATTCGATTATTACCACCATCAGCCACATACACAGTACCCAATTGATCGGCAACGACTCCATGAGGATAAGACAATTGTGTAAGACTATTTCCTTGACCACCCGCTACGACAATGCCTTGTTTTGCACCTTCTTCCCATTTCATGACACGATGATTTCCACAATCAGACACATAAACTGACTGTTCTCGATCGACAAATACGTTGTGCGGTTCAAAGAGTTGATCGAGACCATTTCCTTGTCCATTGCCACCTGCAACCACTGTTCCTTTAGTATCACCAATTTTATATCGTCTCACTTCGTTTTTTCCATTGTCAACGACATAGAGAGAACCATTGTCGTCCATTGTCAAGCCGACGCAATAGATATTTGAAATAATTGTTTCTCCACGAGTACCATTTCGACGAGGCCATCGAACTACTCTTTTATTATAGTAATCGGAGACGATGAGACTATCGCTCTCTTTGTCGATAATCACATCTCGTGGGCCATATAATTGATTAGCTCCATTTCCTTGTCCATTTGCACCAGCAACTACTTTTCCATTCGTTGCACCAGATTTCCATTCCACAATACGATGATTTCCCCAATCGGCGACATAAATTGTTAGACCATCGTCGACGTACAAACTATGTGGGGAATAGAGTTGATTGGTTCCACTGCCATGTCCATTTCCTCCAGCAACAGTGATACCATTCTTTGACCATGTTGCATCCGGATAAATATCAATAGAACTTGCACGCATTGGTGCTAAAATGAAACGAGAGTATGAAGTAGGCAAAAATTGATTGCATTGAAAATGAGTTCTTCATTTTACTGAGAATTCATGAGATATTTGTAATTCAATTGGTACGATCAGAAAAACGTATTCATTGAAACTTGCAATCACGATCGAATCGAGCTGCAATAACTTCTCTCGTAGTAGATAATCTGTTTTAGATCTATTTTCTAATCGAATGTTTCATTTTTTAGATTTATGTTTTCTGTCAGTGTTTTTGATGTCGAAAAAACTCGGTGAATAATCGATATATCGTGATTAATTGGGGATTTTTTAGCGATATTGAGCACATGGGAAAACACATAAGTCAGTTTCCCGTAACATTGGTGTTAGTGTCAGTTTTCTTTTCTTCTAGGAACGAATGGGTGATTTGTTATATACAGTTTCAATGTGAGCAAAAATAATCGAATTATTCTGATCTAGACATTCACTTCTTCTCTTTCTCGTCTTTTTTATCAAAAAGTAAAGTGTACATGCTAGCAATAGTAGGTTCATGTATGATAGTGAACACAAGCTTTCTTTTTGTATTTTTCTTTTTCGTATAGAAAAAGAATTAAAACGGAACTAAGTTGCAAGAAAACAAGCACATGTAGTTAAAGGAGATGAAAACTAATCGATTGAACTTCAATCGAGTTTTACAACATTTTGATGCGGGCAGTAAAGATAATAATAACTTTGATAGATTGTTGAACATCCGCAATTCTATTACAATATGGTATAACATAACGAGTGTTGCCAAAGTTTCTGGGAAAATGCCAGATTATTGTATATAAAGAGAAAATGAGAAGAGGCTAACTCTTTTTTTTTTGTTAGATTGAGCTGTAGATAGTCTTTGAGCAATTACACAGCATTGTGGCCTGCTTTTTAGGAGGTTTATAAAAACCGAATAAATTTTGTTACTAGTGTATGAATGGAAGTCTGTGAAACATGCGCTTTGAAAGTAGAAATCAATTTCTATCTAACAAAAGAAAAAAGATTTATTCAAATACAAGTCTGACATTTTTCCAGAAACTTTTGCAATACTCGTTATATTTAAAACTACTATCAAAGAGAAATCAATAAAGCTATTTTTTCCCAGTGAAAAAATATTTGCTTCGAAGAACGGGAAAGAATGCGTTCCGTAAAATTAAAAGCCTTTTTTTAAGAAAAGAAAACGTTCCAACAAAAGTGGAAAGCGTTCCAAAACGAAACCCTTAAGAACACATTCCATGTTTTTTGGAACGCGTTCGTAACTGTTCCAGCTTTTTTGGAACGTTTTCTTTTCTCAAAAAGAAGCTAACTTTTCTGGAACGCATTCTTGGTTGTTATTGTCTGAATTTAGATTCACTATAAGAGTTCTCGAAGAGAAGTTCAGACATAAGTTTTTGAAAGATCGATTCTGGTGCAACTCGACGAGCTTTATTCAACGACGTGCTCTAATTTTTCGTAGCTCAAACTGTTATTTAAAAAAATTTTTTTTGAAATCAGGGCTGCCCGTTGTAAAGTACGACTAATTGAAGGTTTCACCATTTTTGGCACCAGTTTCAGGGTATCGTACTTTAGAGCTGTCATTTTTTGAATCAAAAGTGACGTTAAATTCAGATGAAAGCGTTCATCAGTCAAAAGAATCCATTCTCAGGTGTTTCTCAAGAGAATATTAAAAAAAGCTGTCTCATATCGATGGAATCCTATCTTGACTATTTCGAAAAAGAATGGGCAGAGACACGTTCTATTGGCTCATGGAACGGTTAAGAACGCTTTCTGTCCAGATAGAGAACGATTTTTGAATTGAGAAGAAAGCATTCCGTACTAGTGTGGAACAGTAAAGAATGAGTTCCATTAGACTCAGAACTTTTGTCTTTGTTTGTGAAAACGTTCCCGAAGCTGTAGAACGCATTCTTCATGTAAAAGAAAAGTCTCTACATTTTTATGAATGCCTTCTCTTCCGTTATTTTTAGAAATATTTTTCACTGGGTTCTCCTTTCTCATGAATCCCCCGTGGGAGGCCAGAATTCTAATAGATCTTTGAAAAGTATTTAATAGTATTAAGCTTTATTTCATAGAGATCATTTCATTATTAGAAAATAAGATCTGAATAATGTCTTTTCGGAATTTGAACGAATTATTCTTTTTTTTTAATACCCCAACTCATTGTTTCAAAAATGATAAAGGTTTATAACTTCTGACTTCTTCATATATTGATTCTAATATCTTAAAGATGTTATGTGAAGAATTTAAAAATTGTTTCGCATGTTTTTTTTAATAGGATAATTCTAAAAATTTGTAAAACTAATTGAGCGCCAAAAGTTCTTAACTTCTGTGTTTTTATTGTTTAGAGAAGAGTTTACGCGAAGAGACATTGATTATTGTCTAATATAAATCGATTTTAAACACATCCTGTCTGTTTATATTCATGTTAATTTTTTCTATCGGATCTTTTCAGTTTTTATTTTCTACTTTATTAAAACACTCTAAAGTCACTCGGAAGTTTAATTTCCAAAGTTTGAATCTTTCTTCTTTCTCTTTATCATCACCTATATCATTGCAAACACTAAAAACATTCACTAATAACTTTCATATGTATACTCTTTCCCTACTGATGACCCTATGAAATGTTTTGAATGCAAAACAATCAATGAAAACTTAGTTAGACTGTTTTTTTTTCAAGAAAAAAGCAACAGTTGATTACTAAATCATGCATTCGTTCTAACATATACCATTGAAATATCTACATATAATGAATCATACATACATGAACTCTCTCTATATAATATTCTATATAAGAAAAGATGGTCAGATAATAGCTGATAAACCTATAGTGCAATCACTATATGTAATATTTTATAAAAGATGAATACGAATATATGAAATATAAACAACAAATTTCCATTTACTTTTTTATCTATTACTTTTCTTATAATGTTCCTCTGATATGTTCTTCTTTGAGATTAGTTTTACTGATAGAATTCTTTTTTTAGAGTGCGTTATATAGATTATACTAAAACCTGATATTCAAAAATCTACAAATATTAACAAAATTTAATCATAAAAAAGATGATATTAATGTTTTTAAAAATTGAAGTAATTTCGATACGACATGTATATATCG